GAGGGTATGTTTTTCCTTTTCTCCCTAGAAGGAATGCAAGATGTACTCTGAAAGAAGGGTAAAAGTGAATTGTGTTTTAGGATGGAATTGGTGAACTTTATTTTGGAATTCTAGACCCTGACCCTTTTATTTATTTATTATTTAGATTTATGTCCCGCCCTTCCCGGAAGCAGTGTCTGTTTCATCCTATAAAAGAACTTTGAATCTTGTTCTCTTGGTCTCTTGCTGGAAACATGGAAACAGAGCTGGGTAGGTCATCCAGTCCAATCCTCTGCACAACACAGGAAGTTTACAGCCAACCCCCCAACTCCCCCTGTGACCCCCCTGCTCTACGCCCAGAGGAATTGTGGCCTGTTTTCCTTCCTTTCACCCCCCCCCCATGACATTTGTCATGATCTGGGCTGTGCCACCCAGGAGGTAGTGGCTGTGCCACCAGAGGCCTACTAGGCCCAGGGAGTCTGGCTAGCAGTAGGTGAGGCTGGGCCTACAACTCCCAGAAGCCCCTGAGGGGTTTTGGAGCCAAAATTGACCAATAGGGAAGAAGAGGGCTGGGGAACAAAAGGGCTGGTGCCAGAGCAGAAGCTGTTCTTTCTTCCAGAGGGCAGAGCCAGAAGGAAGGCTGCTGCAGGGAAGAGACCCTCATCCTGAGGGAAGGGTGAGTAGTCTAGTGTCACTTGGAATAGTGAGCTAGGGACAGTATATATTTAGACACGAAGGGCATTTGATTTCTTTTCTTTTCACCCACTTACTGTTATTATTCTGCACCATGTTGTTTGACGTCCTATAAAATAAACTTTTGCCTTGTTTCACTCTGCCTGGTCCTCACGCCTATTATTTGGCCAAAAGGGAAGTCTGAAGGTCTTGGGAGGGTGCTCTGGGCCTTCTCAAGGGAGCCTGGAACCAGAGTGGTGGCAGCGGCAGGTGACCCCCCCCCCCCCACCTGAGCCGTGACAACATTACAAAGACCTAAACTGGCTGCCCCACAGAAGCCAGTGTGCATCTTTCCGATCCCTCTCCCCTGCCAGTGTATAGTTGCCAGCTCCAGGTTGGGAAATTCCTGGAGATTTGGGGGTGGAGCCTGAGGAAGATGGGATCTGGGGAAGTGAGGGGCCTCAGCGGGGTATATAATGCCATGGAGTCCACCCTCCAAAGCAGCCATTTCCTCCAAGAGAACTGATGGCTGTAAGATCAGTTGGGATTGCAAGAAATCTCCGGGACCCACCTGGAGTTTGGCAAGCCTATTCCACCCCCCCCCCCAGTTCACTTAATAATGGACATCTGTGACTCAAGAAAGAACAAGAGGATGCTGAGTGACAGAGAAACACTGCCTTTAATTAAACAATGATAAATGTTCATGGTAAAAACTTTGTAGCAAACAGTTCTTTTCACACACATATACACCCGCCCGCCCACTCCAAGGCTCAGTTATGGTTCTTCATACTTTGGCACTGAGCTTTCAGTCTAGAAAGTTAATTAAAAAGAGAGAGAGAAAAACTAGTCATGACTTTTTAAAAAAAGAAGATTGTATTAAAACGTAGTTTTGACATTTAAAAAAAGTTTTAAAATGTAGCACCAACAAGAGGAAAAGGTCTTTTCAACAGCTTCTGAAAGACACGTCTGGGGGGAAAGGCACTTTTCTCAACAACAACAAAAACAACCCCAAAATGCAGCAAAACAATGTGGCTTTGGCCATGGCACCCCCCCCCCCATTTCTACTTCTACTTTTTTTGTGCAAGTCAAACGACAAGAAAAACCATCCCTGCCCTGCCAGTGTACTGCTTCGCTTTCCAACACTCATCCTCACCAGACTGATAATTATATTGTTTTTAATGGTGAGATAACGAGAAGCAAACATGCCTACATTTCCCTACAGAACTGCAGCTCTGCCATTCTGGCTTAGAAAACAACAAACACAAGCAGAAGCCCCACAAGCAAATATTTAAGGCACATAACAACATCGGCAACATCCCTATCCTCCAGCTGATTTGGACTGTTGATCTGTGAGCGGACCAAAACACTCGGGCATAAACAGGGGGTTCAGAATTCCAAGGTCTCCTACGGCATCTCCCAGACTATCTACTTTAGATTGCTCGCACTGACTCAGAGAGGAGAGACTAAAACTGCAGCTTTGTCCCAGAGACTCTTAAGCGAGGGTTCTTTAAAATGCCTTTCCCTGGAGTAGAAAACAATGATGAAAACAGCCGTGTTGAGCACATAAAGAATGCTTCACTGAAGTGGGAAGAGTGTTGAGTGTTAATTTCACAGATTAGAATTGTTGACGTGTAAACTAACGTTACTCACGCAGCACACTTAGAAAAAGCTGTCGTGTGAAACGGTAGTATATGCAGATTCCGTTGTGTGTATGCATACATCTTTATTACTTGTTGAAGAAATATTACTCACTGCAAGGCAGCAGTCTAAATATATATTCATAATACCACATCATGGCTGTTTTCATCATGGTTTGCGTCCTTCCCGTGATCTCGCTATTGTTTCTACTTTCTCTGGAGTAGGGCAAGTCAAGTCAGCTGAGAGAGAGAGAGTCATTCAAGAACTGCAGGGGGTGACGCCAATGGAAGAGGGGATCCCTGAGTCAAGCACCAGGCAGGACAAGAAAGGCCACTGGCTCCGGCCACTGACCACCCCCTCCATTCCCAAGCAGCTGCTTTCGCGGGGGGCTGCTGCTCCCCTAGGGGGAGACGTTCAGCCGTGAGTCCAACCCTCGCCGTTCAGTGCAAAACCTGCCGGAGAGATACCTGAGCAAAGCTGAAGTCTCGACACTGGCACATTCCACTAGTGGGGAAGGGCACCTCAAAACGGGGAAATACATTCTTGCTTCCATTGGATGAAATCAGAACGCAGCTTAGTTTTCAGATCCGATGAGAAACTCTGGACCAGTCTGAGCTCAGTGCAAAAGGAAGCTCTCCCACACATAGCCTGCTGAAAGCCCGCTTTTAAATGTGGTGGACGGGACAAAGCATTTTGGTGTGCAGTGTCTTCTTCAAACTGCGCGGCAACCAGTGCACGGTAGCCACGCGAGCTGCGTTGGCACGGCAGCGTCACCTCCACAAGGGCTACGACCTTTGGCGTGCAAATGAAGCAGGTGTGGCTGCTTGGTGCAGGCTGCGGCACAGCTTACACAAAACCACCAGTCTGTGCAAAAGTCGCACTGCCAAGGTCTCGTGATAAAACCGGGCCTAAATGACTGGTGGCAGCTAAAGCACAGCTGTGCTTCTTTGCCTGCAGAACTCCCAGTGAGAACTCATTTAAGTCTATTGCTTGATTTGTCGTCCAGCACATTCAGCTTCCCGCCAGCAGCTCAAGATGCGGTCTCTGAAGGAACATGGGGTGGCGGAAGGGAAAGCCCCTGAGCGCTAGTTGAGGCAGTAGGTTGACATGATTGGGAGAAGTCCCTTTGTTCTCGACATGTGGCACAGCACGCACCAGCAGAGACGTGAAAGGATCCTGGAAAAATGCACCCTCTAGAGAAAGGCAAGGCCTAAACTCCAGGTCTTTCATGCAGATACCTGTACAGGTGAGCCTGCAAAGGCTGTACCCCAGTGTCCCCCCCGAGGATATCTGTTGGCACATCACGGTAGAGGTATGGAGGATTCAGAGGGACGCTGAATTCCAAAGGTCTTACCCAACCTGACAAAAATAAGCAAAAATTTATTTTATTCCCAGGTAGCCGGATCCTAATCTAGGTTAAGATTTAACAGCGTAAACAGCAGCATCACGAAGGGTCAATCCCCGTGTTCCTCTGGAGTAAAACCCATTTCGGGCAAAGCAGTTGTGGAGGAGAGGTGCTCTGCAGGGATACTTTTCCAGTTGTTCTTCTGGCAAGGGGACGGTGCAATTGGCAGGGGGAGGGGGAAGTCCTTCCTCATGACTTAAGGCACGAACATTCGTAGGATTTCCTTTCGGTAATAAGACACGAACATTCGTAGGATTTCCTTTCGGTAATAAGACACAAACATTCGTAGGATTTCCTTTCGGTAATAAGACACGAACATTCGTAGGATTTCCTTTCGGTAATAAGACACGAACATTCGTAGGATTTCCTTTCGGTAATAAGACACAAACATTCGTAGGATTTCCTTTCGGTAAATGCGAAGGGGTCTTTTCCCTTCGCTTCACCTGGAGGGTATTCCTCCCTGCCCCTAGAATGGCTTCGCACGAGGCCCGCTCAGAAGGTCAGAGCTTGCGCCGTACCTCACTGATGTCTTTGCACGGCTTCTGCTCCCTGCAGCAGTATATACAGAATAAAGATCCCAGGAGGATCCAGCATCCCATTTCCATTCCCCGCCCTGCCCAAGGATCACATTCTGCATTCAGAACACATTTGTTGTGCCTACAGAGGAGCGTAGTTTCAAAGTAAACCCAGATGCCCTTGAAGGTTCTTTGTTTCTTCTTTTGCTCTAACCAGTTTCTGCTAAATTCCTTCCTGGGAATTCTCACCTTTTTTTGTTTTGTCCGACGCTGTACAGCAGCAGCCGTCTCATTAAAAAAAACTGAAAAACTTTGGGGTTTTTTTTGGTTATATTAAAAAAAAAGATTTAAAAAAGGAAAGCTGTGTTTCTCCTGGCTTTTCCCGTAGGCGCCTGGCTCAGAATCAAAGTCGGAGGGATTCCGTGGCTCTTCACGCTTTCAAGTTTTGGTTCTTGTGCAGAGACCCCATCCAAAAAAAAAAAAACACCTGTTCCTGAGGTGGCTACTGAGGTGACGCTTTTCCTAAACACGGAATGATGAACGAATGTTTCGGGGCTTCCCACAAACACCCAGAGTTCTCCATGACGGGAGAGCAGAAGGTCACAGTTGGGTCAAAGGAAGCTCCCCTTCAGGTCCTCTTAAAGTCCGTCCTTTCCTTCCAGTGACCCTGGGCGTATGAGGGGGGGTTCCTTGAAGGAAGGTGGGAGTTGCTGCCTTGTTCTCATCTCCCTCCCACTGGCAGCTTTACCTGGGAAAAATTGCGCTGCCCCCTGCCCCCCCCCCACGGCCGTCTAGTCACAAGCAAAATAATCCTTGAGCGGAGCAAAGAGGTGGCGGATGACCGGGACGCTCCACGACCTGCCGAGCAGCTTCTGACGAGCTCCACGGCCCATGTTGTGCAAGTCTGTGTAGTGGAGAGGAAAGCCAAAAATCCTGTAAAGAGGCAAGAGAGAGACAGAACCATTAGCACGCACAGCGTTTTCAGGGCAGGCCCTGCGGTGATGCATTGGGACTCCCCACCAGACCCAGGAGCGGGCCTTCGCCTCCACATGACATGATTTATGGAATCGTTGGTAGTGCTCCCCACCCCTGCCCACTCCATGCTATTTTGCATATTCTGTGGGGGGAGCACTTCTTAGCATCTTCTGGATGCGCATAAGCGCCCTGCTGGACCAGACCTGTGATCCATCTAGTCCAGAATACTGTCTAACAGTGGCCAACCAGTTCCTCTGGAGGGCCAACAACAGGGCAGAGAGGCCGAGGCCTTCATAAGAACATAAGAAGAGCCCTGCAGGATCAGACCAGTGGTACATCTAGTCCCAGCATCGCTTCTCACAACGAGGCCAACCAGTTCCTCTGGACGACCAACAACAGGGCATAGAGACCGAAGCCTCCATAAGAACATAAGAAGAGCCCTGCTGGATCAGACTACTGAGGGCCCATCTAGTCCAGCATCTTGTCTCTAACAGTGGCCAACCAGTTCCTCTGGAGGGCCAATTACAGGGCATAGAGGCCCATGCCTTCCCCACTAAAGAACACCGAAATAACATAGCTGGATCAGGCCAGGGCCCATCTAGTCCAGCCTCATGTCTCACCCAGTGGCCAACTGGAGGACCAACAACAGCCCAGAGAGGCTGAGGCCTTCATAAGAACATCAGAAGAGCCCTCCAGTGAGGGTCAATCCAGTCCAGCATCCTGTCTCACACAGTGGCCAACCAGTTCCTCTGGAGGACCAACAACAGGGCAGAGAGGCCGAGGCCTTCATAAGAACATCAGAAGAGCCCTGCTGGATCAGACCAGTGAGGGTCCATCCAGTCCAGCATCCAGCCTCACAGAATGACCAACCAGTTCCTCTGGAGGGCCAACAGCAGGACCTGTTGTTGCCTCCTGGCTCTGGGATTCAGAGGATTAGTGCCTCTGAATGTGGAGGTTCCCCTCAGCCGCTATGGCTTACCCTCCATGAAGCCTACCTAATCCCATTTTAAAGCTGTTTATTCCTGTAGCCATCACTGCATCCTCAGACAGCGAATTCCACATTTTAATCCCTTGCTGTGTAAAGAATTTTTTTCCTTTTGTCCGTCCTGACTCTATAGCCTATCAGCCGCATTGGATGCTCTCCAGTTATAGTATTTTGGGAGAGGGAGCAAAAGTGCTCTTTGTCAACTCCCCCCCCCCGGCACAATTTTATATACCTTTATCGTATCCTCCCCCTTAGTTGTCTCTTTTCCAAACTGATGCATGCCAAAGGTCCAGAACTGGATCATGGAAGTGCCCCCATGAGGAAGATCACAAGCAACAAGCTCAAGTTCTGCCCGTTCGCCGCAGAAGCCGGCTGTGTACAGTGCTGATTGGCCGGCGCGGATGCCATCATAAACCCACCTCCGGCTGAACCCAGGAGCATTTAATCAATCATTTAAAACTGGGCCTGAGAGGGGATGATGTTGAAAAGGTGGACAGATCGCCCGAAGGAGGCAAGGCAAAGAATTCCGTGGATGGAAATGTCTGTCACTTGCATTCTAAATATGGGTGGAAGCTGAGCTCACCCTGCAAGGAGGGGAGGGGGGCAAGGAATTTTTGTCATGGTTTGGCTTGCGTGCAGCTGTTCTTCTGTCCGCCCCATATGTGGCCATAAAGCAGCAGCAGCAGCAGAGGGACCTGAGGGACAGGTGTCTCACCTGTTGGGCCCCATTCCCTCTTTCTGCTTCCCTGTTCCTCCCCCCCCCCGCCGGCCCCCAACATCCCACGGAGCTGATCCCTCCCAGTCGTGTTTCCAACATCTCGAGCATGCGCGAGGAATCCCAACGTCGCCCACAAGCCTGCCTTGAAAGGACAGCACGAAAACAACAGACGGGTCCTCTGAAGTTTGAACGCAATTGCAAACCCCTTCAGACGTCTTTGGAAGTTTCAGCCGGTACCAAATGCTGCTGCAAGGGTGTTAACCGGAGCGGGTCGTAGGGACCAGATCGCTCCAGTCTCGGCACATCTGCACCGGCTCCCAGTTCGTTTCCAGGCAGAATTCTTGACCTTCAAAGCCCGATGTAGTTTGGGTCCGACATACCCGAAGGACTGCCTGCCACCTTATGAACCTGCCCAACAACTACAGTCATCTTCCGAGACCTGCTTTGGGTGCCCTCAGCTTTCTAAGATTAGGCAGCAGGGTACCCAGAACAGGGCCTTCTCAGTCGTGGCACCAAACTGTGGAACTCTGCCCCCACTGGGAGAATCGTCTGTCCCCTCCTCTTGCCTTCACCAGGGGGTGAAGAACTTTAAAGGCGCTACTAGGCTTTTTACTATTTTGCAGGAACAGACTAACTCGGCTAACCCCTCTGGAGCTATAATCCGCCCCTAGTGACCAAGAGTCGGCATCGCAAGTATTTGTGCTTATTCCGGAGGCTGGATTCTGTGAACCACAGTTTGCCTTCCCACAGCCCTCCCCACTCTCCATTTCCCCCTGTATCCTCTCCCCCGCCCCCGCCAACTGCCTTCCCCCTCCGCCATCTCACCTTTCTAGTTCAGTACACCACAAATTGTCGTCTTTGCCGTTCATGCGCACCGGGAACGCCTGGGCTTTTCCCTGCCGTATCGAATTGGACTTTGTGGTGATGGTCTGGACCTTTTTCAACTGAAGGGGGGGGGAATGAAAGAGCAAAGCTGAGAGCCACATATGGACCCCCTGGAATTATAGCTCATCTCTAGACTGCGTAGAACACTTCCCCCGGAGAACTGACAAAGAGAGCTGTGTTTCTCAAAAGCTTATGCTACAATAAAATTTTGTTAAGTCTTAGAGGTGCTACTGGGCTTTTTACTGTCCTGGAGAAAATGGGAAGCTTTGGAGGGTGGACTCCAGTGTTCCCTCTAATGTGGATTTCAATAAGCGCCATGCGGAAGTCACGGAACCCTGCAGCCCACTGCCTGTGTTTCGAAGGGCCTTGCATAACTCCGTCAAAAACTGAGCCTCGTTGAACCAGTGTTCCCTCTAAGCCAGTTTGAGAGCCAGTTTGGTGTAGTGGTTAAGTGCGCGGACTCTAATCTGGGAGAACCGGGTTTGTTTCCCCACTCCTCCACTTGCACCTGCTGGATGACCTTGGGCAAGCCGTAGTTCTGACAAGAGCTGTTCTTGAAAGAGCTCTCTCAGACCCACCTACCTCACAGGGGGTCTGTTGTGGGGAGGGGGAGGGAAAGGAGTTTGTAAGCCACTCTGAGACACCTTTGGGTCGTGAAGGGCGGGGTATAAATCCAATCTCTTCTTCTCGTCTTCTAAGCTGAGTTAGTGTGAGCTAGCTCACAGTCTTTTAGCCTCCGGCTCACACATTTTTGGCTTAGCTCAGGAAGGTATGGCTCCAGAGCAGACTAATTTCTGCAGCAGCCAAATGGCTCACTCACAACTTTAATGCCAGTAGCTCCCAAAGCGGAATTTTTTTTCTCACCAGATGCCATAGCTTAGAGGTAGCACTGGTGGACTCTATGGCATTGTAACCCCCAGAAGTCCCTGTCCCCCCAGGCTCCATCTGCCAAATCTCCACGAGTTTCCCAGCCTGGATCTGGCAACCCTATGACACCCCCCACCCCACCCCCTGCCAATGGCCAGAGGGACCTGGCCCCCCATCAATGTGGGGGGGCGAGGGCCCTAGGAGGCGAAGAGGAACATCTGAGGAACATCTGTTTGGCATCTCTTACACTATGCCTACCAGGGGATGTTTGGTGTGTGGTTTGTCCTCTCTGATATCTTGGTATGGACGCTGTGTAGTTTGAGCACTTTACTAGTTGATTGGGTTTTAAATCTGTACAGTATGTTTTTAAATATACTAAAGTATTGATGTTTTTATGAGCAAGTTTTTGCCATGTAAGCCGCCCTGAGCCCTACAAGGGAGGGCGGGGTATAAATTTAACGAATAAATAAATAAATAAATAAATAAACCAATGCCTGTGGAGTCTTCTGAGCAAAAATTCTGCCTTGTGAGCTACTGGCGTTAAAGTTGTGAGCGAGCGATTTGGCTGCTGCATAAATTTAGTTTGCTCTGGACCCATCCTTCCTGAGCGAAGGCAAAAATGTGTGAGCCAGGGGCTAAAAAAACCTGCATGCTGGCTCACACTAACTCAGCTTAGAGGGAACACTGGCTACTGGCGTTAAAAGTTGTGAGCGAGTGATTTGGCTGCTGCATCAATTCGTTTGCTCTGGAGCCCTCCTTCCCGAGCTAGGACAAAAACGTGTGAGCCAGAGGCTAAAAAACTGAGCTAGCTCCCACTCACGCAGCTTAGAGGGACCATTGCTCATGAGCAGTGCTCCCTCTAAGCCGTGGAGTCTCGTGAGCAAAAATCCTACTCGGTGGGCTGCTGGCATTGAAGCTGTGAGCGAGCCATTTGGCTGCTGCATCGATTAGCTGACTCTGGAGCCCTCCTTCCCGAGCTAGGACAAAAACGTGTGAGCCGGAGGCTAAAAAAACTGTGAGCTAGCTCACACTCACTCAGCTTAGAGGTGGCAACCAAAGGGGACATTAAAGATGCAGGATCCTGGCTTGGAGAAAGGGAGGCCGGAGGAGGGGGCGGGCGTAGAATTAAACCCCAGGAAGCAGGGAAAGGCACGTCCAGTCCAGATTCCCATTCATCCGTGCTGGATGCCAGGAACGCCCTCAGAGGCGCTTGGTATGTCTGCTCTTCGGTTGGGAGGAGAGCGAGGGAGCCGCCTCCCTTTGACACTGGCCCTGAAGGCATCCCAGCGGCTAAAAATACCCAGTCAGAAGACAGAGGAAGACGGGCCAACCCAAAGATCATTGCCGACTCCTCAGGAATGTGGAAAGGGTCCGGAGGTCCTCAGCCCTCTATTCATCCGTGGGGGACACGGTCTCCCGGCCTCAAGTTTCCACAGCAGACGGTCCACCATATACCAGCACATCTGCGGAATGCTTGACATATTCTGCCCGGGAGGGCAGGGATTGGCTGAGGAGGCCGCAGGGAGAGGAGAAAATCTTCCCCGGAGGGGAAGGAGGGCGGGGAGAAGAAACACGGGGCTTCAGCGAATGCAACGGAGAGCACACACTAGGAAAGCGCATGTCCTCCATTTGCGATTCCTGCACCTCGTTGCACAGTAGAAGGCTGAGGATATATTTTCTCCCCTCCTCCACTCTGAATTGTTATTAGGGACGCTCATGCGTGTGGCCAGGCAAGACAGGGTGGCGGCACCAAGATCGTAGAATTCCCTCCGCAGTGGCGGACCTACATTTTCGGGACCCTGAAGCTTGAACTGTTGGGGGGGGGGCTTCTCGACCAGCAACAACAGGGCAACAGTGCTGCAAGCCCCCGAGGAAATTTTGAAACCTGATCAATTACAGGGACATTTTGAGGCCATATGACACGGGTATTGGAGGAGGAGGAGATTGGATCTATACCCCGCCCTTCACTACCCGAAGGTGTCTCAGAGCGGCTTACAAACTCCTTTCCCTTCCCCTCCCCACAACAGACACCCTGTGAGGTAGGCGGGGCTGAGAGAGCTCTGACAGAAACAGCTCTTGTCAGAACTACGGCGTGCCCAAGGTCATCCAGCAGCTGCGAGTGGAGGAGTGGGGAATCAAACCCAGTTCTCCCAGATTAGAGTCCGCGCACTTAACCACTACACCAAACTGGCTCTAAGGTCAATATTAAGTATTTCAACCCATTGGCTTCTGATTCTGTCACTGAAAACAGCCTTATTTTAATAACAACAAACACTTTAAAAAACTCCCAATTTTGTTGAAAAATTCACTCATTAAAATAAAGTTGCTTCAGGGCCCCTCCAGGATGAGGGGCCCTTCATTAGTTTCACAGTAGGTCCGTCCCCGTCCCTCCCTCATGAGGCACATTTTTAAAGTTATTTCTTCATTTACTTAATTTGTGCCCCGCCTTCCTCCCCACAGCAACTGATATCATTCTCCTCTCCTCCATTTTATCTTCACAACAGCCCTGTGAGGTAGGCTGGGCTGAGAGTGTGTGACTGGCCCAAGGCCACCCAGCAGGCTTCCGTGGCCGAGCTGGGATTCGAACCTGGGTTTCCCAGACCCTAGCCTAACACTAACCACTGCACCATGCTGGCTCTCGTACTGGTTTCTTTGCACCCTCTGGCTAAGCTTGAAGAAAGTTGGCTAAAACGCTTTTGTTTTGCCGGCTTCCCATTTTGGAGGGACGTGCCGCCATTACAGGGATGGATCAATGATATGTAACTGTCTGTTTTCACCAAAGTACAGTTTGGTGTCGTGGTTAAGTGCGCGGACTCTAATCTGGGAGAACCGGGTTTGATTCCCCACTCCTCCACCTGCCCCTGCTGGATGACCTTAAGCCAGTCACAAGTTCTCTCAGAGCTGTTCTCTCAAGGGCAGTTCTCAAGAGAGCTCTCTCAGCCCCACCTGCCTCCCAGGGTGACTGTTGTGGGGAGGGGAAGGGAAAGGAGTTTGTAAGCCACTCTGAGACTCCTTCGGGTAGTGAAGAGCAGGGTATAAATCCAATCTCTTCTCTCTTCTTCTGTTTTCATTATGATCAGATGTTGTATGTAAAAACCCCATTCTCTGAGGATCATCGGACCAAAAAGAGGAGTATAAAAGAAAAACGTTCAAATCGAGCAGCGGGTCTTACCTTGGCCGTCCTGCTGTACTCTAAGCAGTCCTGAAGTTCAAGTTTATCCATCTTGGATGCCACCAGCGGCCTAAGAACAGACAAAACTCATTACAGCCTCAGATCCGGCATGCTGCCCCTATCCACCGAGAGGTTTACAAAATTATGCATGGGAGAGAGAATGTAGACATGAAAGTGCTTTTCTCCCTTTCTGACAGTGCAAGAACTTGTGGGCACTCGGCGGAATTAATGAGCAGTAGGCGAAGAAGAAGAGGAGGAGGAGGAAGAAGAGGAGGAGGAAGAAGAGGAGGAGGAGGAGGAGGAGACTGGATTTATACCCCGCTCTTCACTACCCAAAGGGAGTCTCAGAGCGGCTTACAGTCTCCTTTCCCTTCCCCTCCCCACAACAGACACCCTGTGAGGCAGGTGGGGCTGGGAGAGCTCTGACACAAACGGCTCTTTCTCAAGGACAGCTCTTGCCAGAACTATGGCTTGCCGAAGGTCATCCAGACCAGAGGAAGTCCTTCTTCCCCCAGAGAGTCATTAATACGTTTAAATAAATAAATTAATACGTTTAATTAAATAATTAAAATTCACTGCTGCAAGAAGTGGTGACGGCTACAATTATAAACAACTTCAAGAAGGGACTGGAGGAACAGATGGAGCAGAGGTCCATGAGTGGCTGTTAGCCACGAGGTCTAGATGGAATGCTCTGTCTGAGACAGGGATGCTCTGCCTTCTTGACGCTTGGGGGGAGGCAACAGTGGGAGGGCCTCAGGGCCAGTTTGGTGTAGTGGTTAAGGGGGCGGACTCTAAACTACTACTCCTCTTCTTCTTCTTCGGTGTCGTGGTTAAGTGTGCGGACTCTGATCTGGGAGAGCTGGGTTTGATTCCCCACTCCTCCACTTGCACCTGCTGGATGACCATGAGCAAGCCATGGTTCTGACAAGAGCTCTCCTTGAAAAAGAGCCCTTTCTGTCAGAGTTCTCTCAGCCCCACCCGCCTCACAGGGTGTCTGTTGTGGGGAGGGGGCGGGAAAAGGAGATTGTGAGCCGCTCTGAGACTCCTCTGGGTAGTGAAGGACGGGGTACGAATCCAATCTCTTCTTCCTCTTCTTCTCCTCCTCTTCTTCTGAATTTGGCTATTACCACAGAGTTTTTGCCCAAATACCAGAGTGTTGCTCCCATGCCCCTGACATCCTGATGTCACTTCCAGGTCATGTGGGCAGTGACTTAAGACATGTCACTGCACGTCGGCTGGACCTCCTTCTTTTGGGGGGTAATTTTTCCCTGCTGGCCAGCTGATCAACAGCGGGGCAGGGGGCCTGCCGGGGGACCCCCCCCCATGTCCAGGGGGGGTTGTCTGGCAACCCTGCTTTGCAATCCCACTGACCTTGCTGGGATAGATTTATGCTTCAGTCCTCCACTGAAACCAGTAGGATTTCAAAGTGCTTCCGTACGACAGCTGCAGTCCCACTTATCTGCAGATTGCGCTGTGTAAAATTCCTTTACCTCTTGCCGCTGTTCCCGAGCACCCTGTTCTAATCAATTTGGCTGCAACAACAGCCCTAACGAACAAGAGTAGCACCCTCAAACTATGTGGGGGCTGTTCCTAAGCAAAGCACAGTGGAAGAAGCAGACAGGGAGAAAAAGAAGGGCTTCCCCAATTACCGGTTCATCCCAGGCAGGTTCCCCCAGAAGTATCGTGCTCTGTGAGCCGCCGAGACCTTGATGGCGTCGATCATCACTGGGTTGCACTGGAGAGCGGAAAAGAGAAAGCGGTAAGGAGAAACGTATCATCCCAGGACGGCCGGACTAGGCACAGTGTGGGAAATGGGATTTATTCCGAACTGAGAGCAAGGCATCTCTTAAACAAGTGATTTCGTTTATTCAGCTCATAACAACACAAGACAAAAAATGCATAGAACCAGGCTGACTTATGTACGATTGGGTGTAAACCACACCCAACAAACAGATAGTGACCAAGAGAGATACCGGGCTTGGAACCAATGAGAGTTGTTCCGGCCTAAAACATAGGCTTACTGATTGGTTAGTTCTTCAGTCCAAACACTGCAGTTGGTTAACAGAACTTATGTTTAAGCTAACCAACTGTAATGTATTCAATAGCTGCCATTGCAATACATGAATCATCTAACTGAAGTACAATGTTAAGCTTCGTCCTGGGCTAGGATCCAAATCCATCCAATCGCATTGGTGGCCCAGGAAGAACCAACCAATCACTTGTCAGCAAGCTCCCTGAGCGGGAACGTCCGTGATTGGTCCTTATGCATACAACCTTATTGGTTGCTAAATGTACAGTAGGCGTGGCTACATTAGCCGGGAGAATTTAAAAGCAGGACAGCTGCAGTGTAAAAGCTGTTCTGGCTATAGGGTTGCCAAATGTTTTCCCCTCAAATGGCTGTGGCCCGCCCCCAGCGTGCGACGTCACATCCGGGTGACGCGCACGCGGGGGTGGGGTTTCCCCCGGGCTCGATTTTTGTCGCGTGAAAAAGCGGGCCCTCAAAGCGGGGGATTCCCCGGCCCCATTTGGCAACCCTATCTGGCTATCAGATGTTGATCCGTGTTGGAGTTGTGTTCGAGTTGATGAATAAAGCTGAATCTTTGCTGAATCACTCTCCGACTACTTTGTTAAGCAAGCGACTTAACACCCACTCTATTGCCTTAAGACATAACAGAATGGGAAGAGGATTCCCCTCCAAAACAACACCATATGTTAAAGAGCCAGTGTGGTCTGACGCGTGATCTTTTTTACCTTTTCTTCCCCTTGCCCCTTTTTTAAAAAACATTCTATGTTGAGCACTATAGCACTAAAAACAAATTTAGTCTCTCAATGGAGTCAATGCGTCTCAGTGGTGCCGCTGTAATGCTGAAGTGCTATATTGGTTAAGTGCTACAGCGCTCGACTTAGAACGTTCGGGGGGAAGGACGAGGAAGATCACATGGTGGAAAAGGGCATGGGGAAAAGCGGTATTTTAGGAAGAAGAGAGAAGAAGAAAAGAGATTGGAGTGTTTACGGACATTTCAAATAGCACACCTCAGCGATTCAGAAGCGCGACAAAGAGGTGGAAAGGGAAGAAAGCCGTTCCCCTCAAAAACAGCTCAGCCCAGCTTTGCCAATGGGACTACAAGCATGGATGGCTTCAAAAGGGAATTAGATAAGCACATGGAGCAGAGGTCCATCAGTGGCTATGAGCCACAAGGTATAGATAGGGACTCTGGGACAAGTGATGCTCTGTCTTCTTGGTGCTTGGGGGGGGGGGTCAACAGTGGGAGGGCTTCTAATGTCCTGGCCCCACTGCTGGACCTCCTGATGGCACTGGTATTTCTGGCCACTGTGTGATACAGAGTGTTGGGCTGGATGGGCCTTTGGCCTGATCCAGCATTGGCTTCTCCTATGTTCTTATCAGAGGGGATTGGATCAACATCTGGAGCAGGGGTCTATCCATGGCTCTTAGCCACAAGGTATAGATAGGATCTCTCGGTCTGGGGCAAGTGATGCTCTGTCTTCTTGGTGCTTGGGGTTAACAGTGGGAGGGCTTCTAATGTCCTGGCCCCACTGGTGGACCTCCTGATGGCACCTGGTATTTCTGGCCACTGTGTGACACAGAGTGTTGGACTGGATGGGCCTTTGGCCTGATCCAACATTGGCGTCTCTTATGTTCTTATGTATGAACAGGTAAATGAAATCAATTAGGAGCCGGTTGCTAAAATGGTTGTGTCTGAACTGACACAAAAAAAATACCTGACAAAGAGAGGTTTGACTAGCGTGGTGTGGACCAGCCAGCGGCTCTCTTACCTCCAAAAAACGAGAGATGTCTCTCTTGTCGTTCACTCGCATCGCCACGACGTTCTCGAACATCCAGAAGAAAGGGCGTTCCTCCCCAGCCTTGGGCTGGGCATAATTGAGAAGGTGGTAGAATTCGAAGAACAGCCGCCCGGTCCCCTCTAAAAAGGGAGAGGAGGGAGGAGGACGGACAGGATGAGATGGACGCCGCCAGCATCGGCACCCCTGGTATGAACTCGGACCAATCCGCTAAGCTTGTCCCCTCCTTCTTACCGTACAAGCCCTTCCGAGCGGGGTTCACAATAGACAGGTCGTTGCAGGGACTCCCGCCAATCACCAAGTCGAACGGGCCCCACTCCTCGATCTGCAACAGACCGATGGGCGTGCTTAGCGCTATCAAAAGGTAAAGAGCAAGACTTCCCCTTGAATATTCGTTCAGCCCTTTAATCCGAGTTCAGCCGCTTGATAAAATCACTGAGCCAAAGAACTGGGATCTTCAGCACAATCTCCCCTCGGAGACTTCTCTTCCCTTGAGTAGTCTCAGGGGGCAGCTGTCAGGTTGCTCCCAAGAGAATGTTTCTCCAGGCCCATACAGTGGGGCTGGAGGGGCGCCCCCTTTCTTAAAGACACAGCCCCACAAGGAGGGGGCCTACAGGCCATCTAGTCCAACCCCCTGCTCAATACAGGATCAGCCTAGAGCAGGGGTGTCGGACTCATTTGTTATGACGGCCGGATCTGACATGGTCGGGCCGGGCCATGTGTGTCATAAAAGGTAATGCCAGGTAGCGGAGATATAAACTTTATAAAGGACACAAACACGAAAGGTTTTTTTAAAAAAAACCTTAAAATAAAAACATGCTTAAAACCTCAGCATTCTTGCAATATTTTGTTTATTTAATAGAGTCTGATAACTGACACCTCTTGTTCTGAATTATTACATCAATATGTCTGTGCTGTTGCAATCTTGAGTAAGCTGCCAACCTACGATGACGCAGCAGCAGCAGAACTGGAAGAAGAAGCAGGAGACAGCCAGTTCCATTGCAGGCCTGATAGAAGCCCTCCGGGGGCCTGATCCGACCCCCGGGCCGTATGTTTGACACCCCTGACCTAGAGCTCAATGCGAGATCAGCCTAGAGCATCCTTGACAAGGATTTGCTTAACTTGCTTGCCAGATGTTGCCAGATGTTGCTTCAAGACTGCCAGGGAGGGGGAGCTCACCATCTCCCTGGGCAGCCAATTCCACTGCTGAACAACAACTACCATCAAAACGTTTTTCCTAATATCCAGCCGTTGCCTCCCCGCCCTTAATTTAAAGCATTCTTGCGAGTCCTCTCCTCTGCTGCCCACAGGAACAGCTCCCTGCCCTCATCTAAATGACAGCCCTTCAAAGACTTCAAGAGAGCCATCCTGTCCCCCCTCAACCGCCTCCTCTTCTCCAGACTGAACCTTCCCAAGAAGTCCCTCAGCCTTTCCTCACAGGGCCTGGCCTCCAGGCCCCCGATCATCCTCGTCACTCTCCTCTGCCCCCGCCCCATTCTGTCCACATCTTTTTTGAAGTGAGGCTTTTTAAATCCGTACAGCCAATCAAGATCTCCAATGGCCAATCAGAAGCCCCGCTGGACAGGGGCACCATGTCGGGGACCCCTGATCTCCAAAGTCTGTGGCAGAGGCCAGATTAGAACAGAGGGTCTCCTGAAGGACAGGCTGAAGGGCCCAAGGGATTCTGCCAACCCTCTGTCAGACTTGGCAGAAGGCTCCTGGTCAGAAGCCATCCCTTAGGGCAGCAAGACCTAGTGCAATACTGAAAATGGGCTGCCGTCCCCAACAGTACTCTAAGGAGCATCCAATAAGGTCAGGGGTAGAGATGTGAAGGCCCGGGGGGGGGGAAACGGTTTTTTTTCCTGAAGCCTTTTTATTTTTTTCCGAAAAATTGGAAAAATTGAAAAAAGAAAAGAAAAGAAATTGATTATGGAACGTTTTATTTTAAGATGATGAATAAAATATTTTGACCAGGTGTTCAAATATTTTCCAAATCAGACAGATGTAATTTCTGTGCACTGAGGACAAGGAAGTCCTAGGTTACAAACTGAACTCTCCAATGCAAGAACAAGATGCATTTCTTCCTTTAGGAGGTGCGATTGTCAGAAGAAAATAAAAAAGTTTCAGTTTTGTTTTTGCATGTGGGTGGGTATTCTGTAACAATTGTTTGGCTACACTATATTTTTAATATGCTAGTTGTGATAATTTCATGCCAAGTAAAAATGTCCATAGTCATATTTTATGTTTCTAAAGTAACAGAATGACTTTCAAACTAGAAAAGACAAAAGAAATGCTAATGTAGCATTTTTTTCAATGTTTCCGAAAATTTCTGGTTTTTTCCGGAAAAAACGGGGTTTTTTCCGAGCTTCAAAATTTCCGGAAATTTTACATCTCTAGCTCAGGGGCTGTTGGAGAAACCGTCTGCATTCCACCTTTTATTTATTTCATTCCATTTATATCCCGCCCTCCCCACACGCAGGCTCAGGGCAGCTCAACCCTCTGCTGGGTTGAGGCCTTTCTGGGTAGGCCCCAAACCCCACAGCCAGTAAGCCAGGCCCAGGCCCAGGACAGACTGGCCAGTGCCTGTACAGTCAAGAACACAGGTCACGCTGTGCGCATCTCCTCACGTTTCTCTTGGTGATGTTCCGGACGTCATGGACGTATTTGATGTTCCCTTCGTGCCGCACGGTCCCCACCGCTATGGACTCTTCGCAGATCTCGGAGGCAATGTATTTCTCTACTTTAATGCCCAGGTCCCGCAGCACCAGATAACCTATCGGGAAGGAGTATCGTGGGTGAGAACATGGATATCCAGCTCAATGCGTTCAGGTCCCTCTCAAGTCTCCCTACCAGTTGGCAAGACCATCTACACCAAACAGATGTGCAGCGTTTAGCATGGGCTAGACGTGGACACAAGCTGCAGAATGGGGAATTCTCAGCACACAGTAGCACACTCTGCCAGCGGCAATGAGGAGGAGGAAACTGGATTTATACCCCTCCCGAGACAAGCGGATTCTAAATGAAGCCGGTGGAGGTCGGGAAGGAGCTCCCTCTCCTGGCTTTCCGCAAACTATGCAAAACTGAATTATTCAAGAGGGCTTTTCTACACGGGCAACAGAGCTGCACTGTACTTAGATAGATTATCAGGGACCGTGGTCTATACTGCTGCCCGTGGCTTGCTGAAACGAGGATCCTATTCTGTAATCTCTCCCTTATAATAAAAGCGTTTTGGGTGCCAAAATTCTAAAACGCGCCCCGTTAGTGTATGGGTGGAAAATATGCCACTCAGGAGAGCTGCCTCCAATGACTGGCTCCCTCAGCCAACCTGCCCTGCCATTGGCTAGGTGGCTGGGAGGGGAGGGAGCCAGTCATCGGAGCCAGCTCTTCTGAGCGGCCATCTTCCCCACATACGGTAAGGGACGCTTTCAGCCCAGCGGCGAACGGAGCCGATAGCCTCCGTCCGCCGGCTTCCCTACCTCCAGCACCCATCCTGCCTGGCGAACGGGCCCTGCACGGCCCGTCCGCCGCCTCCCTCCCCTCCTGGAGGGGAGCCTCCGTCGCCGGTTCCCCCCACCCCC